TGTTTGGAAAAATTATTTTTCAGGGAATATACCGAATTTCAAAATTATCCTAGTTTATTATACTAACATCTTTTTCACAAAAATGGAACTGCAAGCTTTTTAGATGAAGTAAATAAAAATTAATTCAAATTCGCCATGGTGTAAAATGAATAATTAAATGCATATCTGTTTGTTTATATTTAATCTTCATTATTATTAACGAAGTTGAAAGAAAGCTTGGTGAGTCAACTATCTGTTTGTGTTACCACATACATTAATGTATAAGATGCTTAGTTTGAGAACTTTTGTTTTCAAAAAAAATTCGAGATTTGAAGAAAGAAAAATATGCTAATAATTCAAGGGAATGAAATGAGATAATAAACAAAATATATAATAAAGTGCGAAATGATGACAAAAAAGCTTCATAACCTTTAGACATATTTAGCTTTGTAACGTTCAAACACCTTGTAGAAAAAAACTTCCATTTTTGCCCGATATTTCCTTGCTAAGAGTCGTTAAACTAACTAACTCCTTATTCAAAATAATGGAAGCATTCCGAATTTTTTTTTTTACTACAATTATGACTTGATTCAAAAGCCTTTTTTGGGTATTTTGTGTTCAAACTCCGTTAAAAAATTACTCCACTGCTTCTTGATTACAGCTTGCTCCCCACTAATTACTTTGTTATTCAATATCATTACTAATCGTTACAATTATCACCAGTCACAATTTTAAGCATCGCTTGAATTAGTTCTTGTTAAGTTCTGTTAGTGCTGTATCTACGATTGGCTGAGATTCTACATCACTGAAAATGCAATGTATCGACCGGTGTTAAATGTGCTGGTGGCAACGACGACGGCGATACTGCTGCTAGAATGATGTGTGCTTCATTGGTTCGTTTGGTTCTGCTCAACAATTGCCCAGCAAAACCCATACATTAAGAATCGGGCACATACACATATTTATACTTACACATGTATGTCGTGTCTCCCGATATTCCTGATGGCCATGAAATGACAGCACCTACCCACCGATCCTTCCTTCCTACATTTAGCCTTATTCCGCTAATATTCATCATTCTTGGCTTCATGTGTATCAGCAACGGCATTTCATCCTTTATTTATTTTTCCTTTTTGTTTTGCAATCATTTCCAAAACTTAGTAGTAATTTTTATTTTCAAGAGTTCGCTGTTGGTGAGCAGCAAAGCGTAGTTTCTCCCGCACCCTTTCTGCGGTTGTTAGTACGTACAGTTAATGAATTTAGCCATATCTCAGGCTAGCTAAAACCTCTCACTCGGTTACACACAACATAAACATTTTGCAAAGACAAGTTTTGGAAGTTTCAACAGTTTGATAGCGGAAATTTAGTGCTAATTCTCAAAATACTTGTGGTCATCTATTTTCATATCGAAAAAGCTTGTCCTTCTTTTAACAATTAAAAAAAAAGATGATTAAATCTTAACAGAATTATGAGGTTCATGAATTACTTTTCAATCGCTGTCGAAGATTCTGCGTAATAAAGAATGAGAACGTTATTATGTTTTCTTGCATTTGAATGCTTAAGAAAAAAAAGGCATTAAGTCAAGAAATGAGAATAAGTATAGCTGGAGCTAAAAAGAGTTTCCAAAAGTAAATAAGTTAAAAAAAGATCATTTATGTGTTTCCTTCTTGTGAAATAATTGTCTTTTTCTTTGAAATGGAAATAACGATCAGGAGGTTTGATATCTGTTTATATCTTAAAAATGATGAACTTCCTGATGTCAGATTGTTGGATTTTTTCTTTTTTTTTTGTTTATATAAGATTTAAAAATGGCAGCGATATTGGATGACATTCTCTTCTTTGACATGCTTAGCTTATTTGTGAAAATACACATATGGGTTTTCGTCTTTCAGCATTTGTATCTTCCCTCGTTAATTAGCAATTTGTGGAATTCATTAATTGCCGAGACGTAAGTATTTAACTCATTTTTAACTTCAGTTGATCAATTAAATCTTTAGAATGTGAGATTTTAACATGCCCGCGCATAGTACTGATCCTTCAAGCACTGAAGAGCCATTAAAGCCTACAATGATCACAACAGCGCTCTAAAAAGTTAAGAACGAGACAACGCAGAGTGACACGAAAACTTCACTTTTTTCATAAATAATTCTTGTGAAGATAAATGACAGTAATTGTATGACAATGATGATTGTTTGCAATTAGCGCTCATTGCATATGAATACGGTAATTGTAGTGTGAATACTATTAGGTGAGAAAAATTTGTTTAAAAAAGATCCACGCTCTCTCGGTAGTACAACAGATTCGAATACTGTTGTTGCATTGTACAAGGGAAGGTCGGAGTCAGAGAATATAGGGGAATGTGGAGAAAGGAATGAGAATAATCTTGGACAAAATATGAGCACATTCACTCATCCTGCTTTGCTAAGATCTGTTCTACCATTCAACTTAGTGTTTAGATAGTGTCTTGTGTCATATTATGTGTCACGTGCAGACTGCTCTTTAAACTATTCAAATTTCACGATAACAATCATCACTCCCGCATATTCTACTTTGCGTGCTTCGTTAAATTTTGTTTACTTGATGTTTTCTTGCGAGTAGATCAACATGTACAAGTAAGCCTTTGGTTTAATTTGTTTGTACACAATTACTTATTGCTTGTTGTGGAGTAATTTAGTTTGGTTATAGGAGAATCCAGTGTTGACAAATTGGATGTCATCTACTCAGCAGTGAGAAGTTAACACCTAATGCTTCTTGTGTTTTTCATTCAAAGCGTTTATCAAATGCATCATTTTGTTGTTTTTGATAATACGATATCATGAACTGAATTACTGGTATAGGTACGTAAAAGTGTTTGGGACGTGTACTAGTGAAAAAGAGCTCGATAATACAGGGAGGGATCTGTGTAATCGAATTTCAGGAAACTGCTGGTATTGTTAATGGGAATAATGATGGTCATGTAGTGTTGGTGATTGTTGGAATTCAGCAGTAGCATATTTATTGTACCATTATGAAAGTCCAAATAATGCTACATAAAGTTCGTGAACTTTATGTAGCACTTCGCTCTGTCATCACAACATGCTATTACCACTACCACTACTTCGTAATAGAATGCAGCGATAATATACTGGTTATTATATAAATTGTTTTATCTAATCCACCTACTTGTCCATCTATCCATGACCTATTGATATATCTGTGATCCATCTTTCCACCGGTCTACTACATAAATATGTAGTCCAGCAACTATTTAATTATTCATTTATCTGCTTTAATCTTATCATATCTATCTGTTGGCAGTGTGCGAATACCAGCGCTGTTCCAATTTCAGTGCTTTTCATAGGAAATTTGAAAGCATGTAATTCCAAGTCCATATATTATGTTCTTTAAGCCATGATCTTTGCTTAATATTTGATCGAATCGACCTGTTAGTATTCACACTTCCCTTCCCATATCTCATACCATCCCATCCATTAACAACAACCATGGGCGAATTCCAGTAAATCGCTATTTTCAGCGCTGCCGCTCTCGTTACAACGTGTGCAAGTGCCATCTCTACAGAATATACATTCACAAATACACCAACACATGCAACACAAACGCACAATATCTTAAGTCTTTAGCGCTTTCTCTACAAATAACGTTCATAGTGCATCGCTGTAGAAACATACACTATTCGCTTTGTACGTAACGCAAAGTCAATTTCACTTCGTTTGCCCATATCAGAGCTTATCATTTATGTCTTTATCTTCAATTTCCGAACGGACCTCAACAAAATAGATGTGCGCACTCCAAGTGGATAGTAGCTGTATGAAATAGCATGCAAATCATAGTAAGTACACTTTGAGAAGTACGTTAAAATAGGATAGATCGTACATTTTTGATCCTGCTAGCAGTACTTTCTTCTTTAGATATTGGCGAAAGCTGTTAGCTGAGTCGACACTTTCACGCGTACTTGTCATTCAAGAGTTTGTTTCCTAGTGAGTGTAAGTGTACATGTGGAGACGTATTCCTTCTGTAGCAGAGTTAAAAATTATGAAATAAGAAGTAAAAGTTTGATGTATTTTATTCTGTACTCCTCTCTGTTTGTACATCTTTCAATTGCAAGTACATAACATCTTTAAAATTATACCCGTAATAGAAATTGATATTTCTATGATTCAAAAAAAATTTTCACTCAAGAATATGTAGTCCTGATCTGGAATAAACGAAAGTAGTGGTTTTATTCTGTAAGTTTTTATATGGTTATCCATCTAATATTGTTGTTTATACTGAATAAGTATCCGCTGCTTTTCTTGTACATTTCTAATAGGGATATACCAGATTGCACCATTGCATCTTCTCTTTATCCTTTCACTTTCCACTTTCCACTGTTCATCAATTCGGTGTTGAAGATTTGTATTTCTAGAATTTCGCTTCCTTTTCAATTTATCTTGTCTTCTGTTCTTGATAATTTCAAATAGCCTCCTTGCTTCGAGTTTCATAACTAACAATGAAGATGAGATTAAGTATGAGCTGGCTGAATGCTTTATCTTTTTCATTTGTAATCACTCTTTGCACCGCTCGGAAACTCTACGGTACACTCACTTCTGGATTCTTGATATTATCGAACTTCTCCAGATGTCTTGTAATTGTGGGATTACTTCTTGGGTATTGCAGCTTTTTTTCCTTTTCAGCTATGGATGTGTACCTAATACAGTAGTAACGAACAAAAGCACAGTAATGAAGCAAATATTAGTGGAGTCAGGGTTTTAGTAGGGATTCTACAGGTTTACGTTTCCTTCAAAAATAGAAAAATTACATCACAAACTTGTATTAATTGCCTAACTTGTTGGTAATTTTACATAGATCTTTGAAGCAAATGATTGACTTCCAGCAGTTAAACAAGTATCGTTAAACTTCCAGTTCTATCCGTCGACTAAACCCAAACTTCAAAACTTTCCATTCAGGAATTTACTCCGTAACATATTATGTTTAGATATTATACTTGTATTCATTCAAGGTTTTTTTCCAGTTTTACATTACTGCGAACAGAAAATCGCTTTGGATTAGGAAGTTGGTAGACAAAAGTTCCTAAGCTAAATCGATTTTCTGTTGCAAATGTTTGCATCAGCTAACGATTCTTGCTTTGATTTTTTCCGGAAACTTGGAACATTAATCGACTTCTAAATTTCAGCTCATCTTTTACCTCACCAAAATACAGATTTCGATTACAGATTTTAAAAAAAATCGATGATTTCAAAAAGGTAATTTTTGTTTTCCTCAAAACTCAAACTTGGTTTTCAACTCGGTTTTTCAGAAATAAACTATTCATACCTCTTTCAGTTTAAAGCACGCTCAGTTCAAAAAGTATTTGTAACTTCGTTGTTGATATGAATGAAAGAGGGAGGGGTAAGGCAACTTAAACTTGCTTCAAGCTTTTCTGTTTTATTTATCTCTGTATAATTTTTCCTATTATTTTATATTGGAACTGTAATCTTACCGCACAAAATGCTGAATTCCTATTACTATTTAGGGCAACGAAGCGATTAAACGAAGAACCAGAAAACGGTGAAATTTCAAAAAGGCGTCGTAAAACTCTTAGTTTTACACCTTTTAAACAAGTCGGAATTCCTATAAGTTGGAAGTTCGATTTACGAAGTTGGTTTCTGCATTGTTCTGTAATTATTAATTACTTTGCGTATATTTTGGTTGAAATTTTCTTCAAAAACTGCTCCCTTCAGTTCTTTTCCCTCGCCTCTAATTCTCCTACTTTTTTCATCATCTTTTAATGTTAAATTAGTTAATAAGGAAAATTATTTTATAAGAAAAATTTTAAGAGTTACGGGAAGCGGTACGCACGTCAGTTTCTCACTGCCAGTACGTCGATCCATACAAACGTGAAAGACTTGGAAATGCGGTTTTTGAAGCGCTAAGTGGACAAAAAACGATGAAAGCTGCTGCTACTGCACATAAGGCTAATTATTTCAATATAAGCGAAATTTTAAAACTCTGCAAAGACTTGATATCGTCTTGGAAATTATACTGGTTTTGAAATCGAACATCAGGTTTAATCTCTAAAGTGCAATCCCACTTCTTTATTTTTTTCTTTGAATATGAATTTTTCAACAACGTCTGCATGCTATAGTCTAATTCTCTTTAAAGCGCAATAATAAAAATAGAAATTCACATTGCCTTTTTATACAAGTTTGTGTAGCTACAGTTATTTTGCTTGCTGAACATATGGTAAATTACGCAAAATAATCATATCTCTTCAAATTAATTTCTGAACATTGCAGGTACCATTTACAACTTTACAAACTTATTTCCATCGTTCGCGAGCTCGGATGGCAAAAATAATGAATGATAATGACAATGCACTGCCTGAACAAATTCCGATCCCCATACCTGTAGGTTTTTCAGGTTTAAATGGGAATTCATGTTTTAATTAAAATTCTAAAATTATGAAACATTTAATGTGCTGAATTTTCAGGTTTCATAGAAATTTATTATTCTTAAGCTTTTTCACAGTTTTACTTTAAGAAGATAAACACTAAAATCTACAGAAACTCTTTTTATCGAATTGATTTTTATTCAAAACTCAAACTTTTTACTAAAAATATTTCTGTCTTAAATATGGATATAATGTGAGTAAATCTGGGTGGTTGTGTGAAATTTAAGTAGTGTTGCTCTGTAATTTTATCATAGCAGTTTAATACTCATTTAACTTTCGACACTTTTGGAACTGAATTTCAGCTTACCCTTTCTTCATCTGATGTGAATAACGCGCTCACAGAAGAAAAATTTCCAGTAGAATTTAAAAAATCAAAGCGACTGGATGCACTGTTGGATGTTCTTATGAGTAGAGTAGTGGCAAGTGATACCTGCATTAACGGTAGTTCAGAACTTGTTTAGTCGTCATTAATTGAGTATAGCGAAAATATATGTGCTTTAAAAGTAATCATGCAGTTGAATGTACCAGTAAAAGTTAACAACTGAAATTCGTTTATCATAGATTTTAATAATCAGACAATTTCTTATAGCTATAACTTATTGCACTGCCTCGTTATGGCATATTACCTTAAATGTCAAAGCTGCTTTAGGACTGTAAATTTGCAGGGACTTTATCGCCCTCAGATTTCGCACCTCGAAAATTGGGTTCTAATAAAAGAAAGCCAAAGGAAGTCCATCGAATAACTCCGGTGACGGCAACAAAAAATGAAAGCCTAGTGGATTTTGAGTCACCAAACAGACTCACTGATCAATCAGAAGTACTTTTTCGGAACTTTTCAACATTTTTAAGTGAAGCATCCAGATCATTATGAAAGTAATTCACTCGAGTGTCAGGAACATCATTCTGTCACGAAAAAACATTCTCAAAAAGACGTTTGATCTTTAATGATTTCTTTTTCTATATTTTTTTAAAGATTATGTTCAGACAATACAGAATGATCCTGCTGAAAGTAATACTATGAAATCAATAACTGCGAAATATAATAAAGAAGAAGTAATGGCAATAATCAGATCTGCGATATCGAATTCTTCTCTGGATGAGAAAACCAAAAAATTAGTGGAAGGAGTAATTGATGGAATACTTGACAAATCGCTGAATATTGATGTAAGTTGTCAACTTTTATTGTCCTTATAGTTCTTCTATAATCAAAAAAATTTCATATCCTCGAAAAATGATTTTTGTTATAGATCACTTTCTTGACATCAATTGCTTGCAGGACATGTGTGCTTTTTTAACTTTGGGTCCTGCTTTTGCAAACTCCAGTGTTTATCGAGTTGAACAAAATTTGGACATTCCGGATAGAATGCTTCATAAAAGTGCGTTTTTAATAGCGTGTTGTTTCTTTGTGGATTGACTTCCCAGTATCACTGATATCGTCTAGTCTTCTGTATACCTTTAAAAGGAACGCAGGTTACTCGTATCCGAAGATTTTGGGTTGATGTCTGCGATTATTGAGTTTCAGATGAAGTTGATTTCGATGAGGCTGCTGAAAACCACAATCACGTACCACATTTGTCGGGAAACTATGAACGTTTGGGTAAAATGGGAAAATGCGCAAATGAAGTTCATCGTTTTTCGCATTACCCAGCTTTGCAGGAAGAAGCGTTGCACAAAGCTATTGCAATGTTAGTCTTTTTCCTTTAGAAAACGTTCTACGAATTTCATACTTAAGATTGAATTAATATTTAATTATTAACTCAAATATTCAAAGCAGACCAGAAATTTCACAAGTTATGAAATAAATTTAGGGTAATTCGTGGCGAATATAGTGTTAGTGGAGCAGCAAGTATTATGGAATTGCCTACATCAACCGTGCATCCTTATGTCCGAGCTGCATTAGAGATTTTTTTGCCGCAACAGACCGGTTAGTTCAGTGTTTCCAATAATAGGTTATTTGATTTCAGAAAAGTTAAAACCAATGTTTCTTGTAATAAACCAGGTCTGCCTGTGGTGTTCCCTCAGTGGCCTAATCCCTATGATCCTTCATGAAATTTTTGTTGAAGAACGACAGGAAGACTTTTTAATTTAATTAAAGTTGGCAAAATTTTGACTGTTCTACCATCAGTAATGTGATTATATTCTGGAATGAATTATTTTCTTAGACCAGATTTTATTGGAGATTTTTTAGTTATTTTTGTTCAAAATTGCTTAAGTACAAAATTTAATGTATATTTATCCCTTGTTCTAATGCATACTGCTGGATTTAGAAACATTGGATAGAGAAACAGCAGCTGATCAATGTATCCAACGCAATGGTTCTGTTTCGGAGGAGGTTGAGATAGTGATCTCAAGTCTTATGAAAATTCCATCGTATGACCCGGAAGCACAAAAAAGATTTCACGATGCACTTTCTGAAGTTTGATTTAATTTCTAGCCTTGTTATTATTATTTTTATTAAATTGTACTTGTGTGGTCGAAGTACTCCTCCATCACAAGTCCAGTATACCTTAATTAATAATGTTGGTTCTAACTGTCGACATTAATTATTTTTCCTAATTCAGCTGCATCTACACAATGATGAATTATTTTCAAAGACCGTTGGATTTAAATTCGTGGCATTTTTCGTTTTTTTAAATGAAAATCTATTTGATTGTTTTAATTTCTTAGAAATTTACCTAGATAAAACATTCATTTCATGTCTTTGAAGGTTTTAACGAAAGATGTTCCAGTCGAAGAAGTTTCCAGCAAATATGGGATAGCAGTTGCTGCATTTCAACCGTACATTACGAAAGCCCGCGTGTTGCTTGGACAATCACCCTATCCAACATCATCTAATATCGAGGTTGCTTCATTCCGTAATATTTTACTCAGTAATAAGCAAATCTCATTGCGTGAAATCTTTAACAATATAAAAGGTTTGGATGAGATAATGGTAGCTTTCAAATCCGACATTTTCCGACATTTTGGTTGAATCGGGACTTATTTCAGGAAATATCAACGGAGCTAGGTGCAAAGTTATCAAATAGTAGTGAGGAATACGTAGATGAAGAAAATAATTTCAACAAGATGCTCACAAACACCGAATTTTTATTAAGGAATATTTCTACTGATGATACTGTCTTTACAAGTGAGATCTGCAGCAGCTTTCGGGCTAATAGTTTTCAAACAAGTACTGCCAGAAGTTTTCTAAAATCTTCAATAGTTATTTCAAAATATAAAGGAAGGGAAGATGTGTTTCATAAAATTCATGCAGACAGTCCTTTTAGTAAGCTGTCTAATTATTGTGTAATAGTAATAGTTATCTGAAATAGATCCTTTCAAATCAAGTGATAAAAAAAAATTATTTTACTTCAATATTTATGAACTAGTGAGATTTTAGTTGCTGCTACTGTTCATCCAAATATAGCAGAAGATTTTTCAAAGCATGAAAATCGGTATAATGCCGAAAACAGGTTGACGAAAACAGGTGAATCAATCAATGACAACTCTCACACCGAACACTTACTGAGTGGCGCAATCAGTGATCTTAATAGGAATAGTAACGAATTTGATGATGGTAGAGTTTTTGTGTACAGCACGCATTGCTAATATATAAATCAAGCTTATGATCAGAGAAATGAAAAAAAAAATATAATGTCATATGTATAACTGGATTAATATTGTATGCACTTTCCAGCTATCCACATTCAATCAGATGAAGCCGAAATTCGATCTAAATGCGGAAAGCGAATTGAAAATATGAATTCTACAAGTTCTGAAAAAATAGAACTATCAACAAAGAACATTGTAGCTTTGCATAGTAAAACTAGAAGTGATGGTAGTGATGACGAATTTGATGGCTGTTTGTTTTTACAGTTTCTATATGTAGCTTATATATAGCTTAAAAAATTTTTTTTTAATTCCAACTTGAAAACTTAGCATTTTACTAATGATATACATGTTTGGGAATTTTTCAGTTCCACGTTCAATTCGAGGTGTAACAAAACTTCTTTCCGATACGAAGCTGGACAAATTAAGTACGAAGCACTATGCCGGAACGCCGGAAAATCTGGCTATTAAAATAGACAAGGTGATTACTTCATTTTTTAAATTATATGGATAAAAATTCTCGTATCTTACAAATTCGTAAATTCATTACTGAATTTGAAGGTGAAAATTTTTCTTAGGTTTTGCGTCAGTATCGTTTTCGCGGTGACCGTAAAAAAATGCGCAATGGAATTCTCGAAGTTCTCTACAAATCGAAAACTCTTAGTGAGGCTTGTAAAGGGAATAGTTTGGCTCCAACAACGTTAAGTACATATGTTCGTTTGGTAAAAGTGCTCATCAATGCAGAGAAAACTGTGAGCTTTCTGTTTCTTTTTCTCTTGAAAATTTTGGAAGACTGATTGTAGATGTTTTCTTTATATTTCTGACTTTGGTTTATTGCTTTTTGAACGGAACTGTATCATTAAAATGCTATTTGTGATATCTGTCTTTTTATATTCTCGCAAAATATAAGATGGTTTATAAAAATTTTCCTGCGGATGAGATTTTTTTTTCTCTATAACAGTTTTTGTAGATTTTAGTCCATAGTTTTGTTTAGATGTAAAGGAACGAACTCTTCCAGATCGCTTTATGTTATTTATGTATGCATTATATTTGTATTTACTTATTTGAAGGGCTTGAATGGAAAAAGTGCTGCAACTTCATATTCAAATAAAGTTACAAATGTTGAAAATGGCAAGGATTCAAGCTGGTCAGCTGATTCAGCGAATAATGGTTATTTCGAGCAATTAACGAAAAAAGTAGACGTGGGTTTCAAACTTTTCTACTACCTTTGTATATGTATATATATATATATTTCAGGAAATTTAGACTGCCCAGTTTAAGCTGTTATTTGTATTCTGTCATTATTTCTGATTCTTTGAAGTCAGAATGTAAGTAGCACTCTGATGAATGTATAATTTGTCTTCTATTGATAAATTAGGATACAAAAGCTGCATTCTTGCTGTCATCTAAGTGGTCACAACACTTATGCTTTGCGGAGTTGAAATAGGCAATCACTGAAGCCGTCAAGGGTGTTCAATATGTAGGAAAATATGACATGTCATGGCTTATCTGTACCGTAGTAATAATCAAAATTCTGGGTATACTGTCAGAGTGCTAGTCTCGAAAAGCAGTTCAGCAACGATGACATTAGAACGTTGCGGCTGTGGATGTAGGTTTTTATTCAGTTTTCTCATAGCATATTACATTATCTCAGTTCTCGAAAAATGTTCTTTTCTTGATAAACCGAGAGGGTTTTAGCGAAACCTTCCCATGGATTCACCTAGTTTAGCAGAAGAAGACACGAAGACTGGTGCTGAACCGCTCGTTCAAAATGTTGATGTGATGTTGTTACATACGAAACCGATAATGAATAATTTGGAAAGCTTTTACAAAGTGCTGATTGCTTACCTTATCGAACAGCAGTACCGACGATCTGAGGAAGCACAAGAAGTACGAGATACTGGTGTTCAATCTTTCACGCATTACATTTCTAATTAAATTCTTTTCTTGCTTGTAGACATTTTTACTTAAGTTACAGATTTCCCGTTTTATTTATGTTTCATAAATTTCATTCATCTGCTTTTTTATATCTAAGTGGTTGAATATTTTTAGAAATTTTCGGGACTTTTTCCATCCGTAAACCGATAGTTTCAGAAGATGCGTACAAGTTTGGAATATGTATTACTCGACGGCTTATCGGTTGCTGAAGCTTTGAGAGTTCATAAAAGTCCAACAGAGCATGTTTTGCAGGTAATTTTTCTCTAACTTTAGTTCAAAATCATCAGTAAGAAGGTTTTTTTTTTTCTTTTTCTGGTTGTTTACAGGTTTATTTTATACTTAAAGCTGAGTTTATTCAGACAAGATAGAGATATGAAATTCTGCATGTCTTCAAATTCATCCCTGTGAGCTTGGTAGAATACGTGTAATGTAATCGAGTAAGGATACTGTTAGTAGGTCTTATATGATATGGCGCAGTGGTGTATATTTTATATTTTTGTGAATTTCCATGTAGGTTTTACTTGAATACTATCAAGTTTTATTAGTTTTATTATTTTTGGTGTTCATCATTCCCATTTAGAAATCTCAGATCAGTCAATTTATCAACTTATTAATTACTGATAGCAAAAAATACAGGAATAAAATTTAGCGTTTAATGAGTAATTTGGGATGCTCTCACAAAGTATTGATTACCTACCTTATCGAATATAAATGGCTTGGCAAAGTAGAAAATTTAATGACTGTTTTTGATCATGTTTTTTACAGGTTTATTTAAGTCGATGTCGTGAAGTTAATAGGTGCATAAAGACGGAGTTTTCAAATTTTAAATCAAATGTCATACGCGCAATAAGAAGGAATTTAATGAACGATAAACAAGATGTGGGAGGTTTGTTTTTGTTTTTGTTTTGTTTTTCGCTAGTTTCCTTGTCTACCGAATTTATATTTTTTTCAAAAATGTTTAAGAATATGCATGCTTTAATCTTAATTTGCACTTCTAATGACCTTTGTCTCATTTTTAATTTGAGAACAGATAGGATTACTTTCTGCATAAAGCTGAGGTTATTTAGGAAAGATGGAGCATGAGGTTTTGCATGTCTTCAAATTCATCCCCATGAACTTGGTAGAATGCGTGTGATGTAAACAACGATATAAAGTTTATTAAAACACTGCTGTACTGAGACTATGTTTCAGCAGTCCAAATGCACAACAATACAACTCGGCTTGCAAAAAACAACATAAAGCGTTTCAACAAACGGCTTCAGGTTTGTTCCGCTTACAAAGCGTTTTTTTCTTGTTTTTCTTTTTGCGTTTGACAAATTTCTTCGAAGTTCAAGCAGAGTTTCATAAATTTGCAGTGGTTTTAATGAACACGTTGTATATACTTCACCTGTTTTACTTCTTTGTTTTGTCACTGTTTCTATTTAATTACTTATATCTACCAGCGAAAACTTATTTGTAGAATAAGGAGTTGATGACTACAGAACCGACTGTGGGTACTTTGAAACATCTTAACTTGATTTTTTCTGAAGATTTTCGCAGACCACTGTATGATTATTTAAAGTAAGCGGTTTAATGATTATTGTAAATAATTGCCAAACACGTTTATGACATAGTAAATTTGTAGCGAATTATCAGTTGTTGTGTGTTACTTTCTCGCATTAATTAAATTTATTTTTTTGAGTTGTGCTGATGTGTGTATATTTAATAATCAGTTTAGATTTAAGGGATCAACTTTGTATTTTAAGACATTTTGCAAGCTGCATGTTTGTCACGGTTTTTAAAAATTATTGTATAAATTCAATCTAAGATTTCTAGATCATTATTAATTTTCTTTTCCAGAAAGCTCAGTGGTGTGAATTTTCCTATTGAAGATTCCCTCATCGTTGGGTTGGCAAAAATGATTGTTAATGGATTTCCAATAAGCAAGCAAATCTTTTTTGCGGATACAATCTGGGATGAGTGGTTATCAAATTATCGTAAGGAATATCCAGAATTTGGGTAGGAAGAGGAAGAGTTGGTCATGGATATTTCGATTATGTTAAATTTAAGAAATCCCCGTTTAAAATCGACCGATCACTACAAAACAATTACCTCAAAGCGAATTTATTCGCTCTCCTTTATTGTTTCGTGTCATGCTTTCAATTTCCATTGTTTGATTCCTAATTACAAATTAAATCATCCAGAACAGTTTCGAAACATGAAGTGCGCTCATTGCCTCAAACTTTTGCCTTTCAAAAATTTCTGGATTTTCAACATTTTTCTAGAAGCACTGTTAATGATATGATGTTTGCTAAAATTTGATTTTTTTTTTTTTTTGAAAATTCAATGTAAGTAGATTCCAACCGTTGTTCGCAATTATTACAGCTCATATGTTGTAATTACAAGTAATCTACTACTTATTTGAATTTAGTTGAGATATCACTTCTTTTATAGCTTATCATATTAAAAACTGAGGCGAATCACCCGTTTTCAAATTATTTATACCAATTTTAAATTTTGTAAATTTTAACACTGCTTCCTGCAGTGCTCATATAGTCCATTTTGGCATTTGAACGCGCCTTAAATCACCTCGATGCATTTGAATCACTTTAATAGCTTATCCATTTCCATTTATCGGATGTCAATTTAAACTACTTTCACTTAAAACACAATGCAGAGTTTGAGAAACATTTGCATTTGTAAAGACATTCCTTCTAAGAAAAAAAAGTCAGTGTAAATAAATAGGTGCTTTTTTACCGTTATCGTAGATTCGCTAGTCTCTTCATCTCCAAATAGCATCACTTCGAAATGCAGCATATAATTCTTCGGATTGATTGATATCGATTGCTCACTGATCTCTTTCCAATGTCTTACTGTTTTGACTTTTTTGTGTACTTGTCCTCATGAAACGGTCAATCTTTCGCGTATGTCTTTCTACGGTCGAAATCATAGTATTTGTTGGCTTTTATAGTTTTTCTTATGTGGTTTTCTTTTATAATTTTTAATGCATCATTTTTTTTTAATGCATAGCCAACCTAATCGATGTATACTATGTTGTTGTTTTGTTTTTTTTACTCAACTCGTACAATAAATAGTGTTGTTTGATGAATAATGGGGACAATATTACCTCGAGATTTTTAAAACTGTTGTCACACATGTTGCAATGGTTGGATGAAATGTCCGACCAAAAGCATGTTACCCGGTGATGTGTTGTGTAAAATATTCGAAGTAAGCGAAATTTATGTGCTTGCGCTGCTTCTTAATCTCGAACACCAAATGTTTAAACGCTAAAGTTGTTGGGTTGTGGTGACTCTCAGATTTCCTTGGGACAGTGTTCAAGTGCTGGTGAGGGAATTGAATTAGGTAGCTTGATTCCTGTAGGTAAATCATATAGTAAGATGTTTTAGTGCTGACATTATAAGAAAAACAAGCAACTTTTAGAAGTCTTGATGGTATGATTGTCCACCTTTAAAACAAAACATAATAAAGTTCTTGACATCGAGAATCGGTTAAAATGTTGGAGAAAGAGATTTTAATTGCGAGTTTGTAAACCATCCGCTACGTATTTGTGTTAAAGGCTCAAGCCCGTAACTGTTATCAAATAATCGAAGTGCTGGACTTCTTACTCCTATCCCACTTATTCATGGGAGTTTATAAATTTCATAATGTGGATAGTGTTTCCTACTAGAATAATTTGAAATTGTAAGCTGAGTAATATTATACGCATTCTACATAGATAATTTCATGGAAATTAATGTAAAAATCATCTCGGAAGTAATTTCTTCCGTAAAATTAAAATTTCTTAATACATCATTTTACTTATATCATTCTTACCATTAACTTAAGTTCTTTTGTAAGCAACAAAATCGAGCTATACACCGATTATACTCTTCTTCAAGTTAGAATAGCCTCAACTGGCTAAGTGCATTAGTAAAATAAATAAATGTTAAAGGGCGCTGCTGTTAAATGTTAAACTGCTCTTCAGATTTTAATAGATACCTGAAATGACCATAACTTCGATTTTTTTAACTAGTAGGGTTTTGGTAGATGAAGAAATGATATTGTCACCGCTGTTGGCTTTTTTGTTGTTAACTACATCTGTTCTTATAGCTTAAATATTAGATGAATTTAATACAAATTTTGAGCAAAATCTTGCATAGATTCTGCTATGGTATGATTAAATTAGTTAATTCCACACTAGCCTTAATGCTCATGTTATCCCAATGATTAAATTGATTTTAATCGCATAGGTCCTGAAGGCTGTGTGGATCCCGAATTTTGCATGGATTAGTAGCACTGCACTCATTTATCTCATCCAGTCCTCGCATCTTTTTATGAAAGGACGATTTCCCTCATTTCTTCTCTTTTATCTTTTGTGGTTTTTTAAGCTTCGTGCTAATAAATTCTTCAACCACTATTAGTTGTGATGGTTTGTTTTTTAGTTGTGACTGCTCATATATAGCTGCTGTGGTGAACAAAGCTGCCGCTGTGCAATGATATTTTGTACTTGCAACATTGTTTTTGCAACAATGATTGCTCAATACGGAAAGCTATTGCTACTTCGGACTATCATCTGTGTCATGTATTTACCATCAGTACAGTATTTTCTGCTATGTAGTGATAGATTATTTAAACAATAGTTGCAGTAACAGAAGGAATCTCATTATGGACAGCTCTCCTTATGATTTTGGAACAAAGATTCGAATTATATATTTTAATTACGAGATAATCTCACTTCAGTTGGAAATCCACACTTCCTGACGTACAAGTAAGAAGTGCAATGGATCGTCATCCTATCGTTTAATGGAATAAACAGTCGACTAAATTTTATTACCGATCTCTTGAACGACGATAATCCTTCATGGTATATCATAAACATCGCACTCAAACATTTGTTATTTGGATCATTGAGAACCCAATGAGATGAAGGTGTAGTAAAGGTTTTAATCCATTGAAACGGCATTCGAAATGGAAGAATGAGAAAGGTGATGAACAAATGCCGGGGTTTTTTTTCCCGAAGACCACTATTTCGTATGAAAGAGTTATAGAAGAAACTGAAAGCGATAGTTTTACAAAAATTTAATGAATAATCAAGTAATTCGATCGTACTTCGGATAAGGTAAGGAAAATCATGAAATTTGATTAAATCCATCTGATAATTTATTCTATTTTCGTCATGATTTTCCCTAGAAATCAAACACTTTGGCATTAACATCTTTTTGATCAAGAAACGATACGAACTTAAACAGCCTGTAGTCTTCGGTCACATATCACACTAGTTGGACATAAAAAGCAAAAGCCAAAATATTAATAACAATAACAGAAGTCGAAGCAACAATCAACAAATATTTCATAAACTTCCTGATGGACATAATGGCTTATATTACGAAGGTTAAGAATATTTTTTATTTATCGGACTTAATCAAATCCTTCTCCAATGAACTTTTCATTGTTTCCTCATTGAAAAAACATGGAGCGATAACTGGTAAATTCATCACAGATATATTATGCCTCGTTAATTGAAAAATTGGAAATGAAAGGTCATACATCAAGTATTTTTTCATTTCCAGTTTCTTATTCAACATTCAGTTTCAAAACGTGAATCTGTTGGATGCAGTCTTATGCTTAGAGAGATTAAAGTTCTTCTTGTACTTGCACTTGACAATATGCTCAAAGAATATTGAACCATCAGCTATACTATTCAGTCCAACCTTACCACATTATCGCAAAAGAGAGACAATACATTCCATTATCAAGCAGTTTCTTCTTTTGACCAATAATTCTAGAAGATTCTTTTCAGCTGATTAATTGATTAGTACAAGAAGTTGATTAGTACGTTAATTCTTTATTCACTGATTTCTCAGAATTCAGCTCCTCAACTATTTTTGTCGAGGACACACGAAATTTCTTATTCATCATATTTTTTCTACCAACCTACGAATACCAACAAATAATTATGTTGAAATATGATTTTTACTAATCGACAATCTTACACTATATTTGTAACGTCAGGATGCTTGACGGTGAAGATAAAATTATCAAACATATTCCGTCCATTAACTGCGAGAAAACCCGAATTTTCACAATAAAGCTGTTGTCAATCCTTGCGCAATAACAAAAAAACGTGTCGGTCTTTTTCTTTATACTGGCGTTTTAAAAATCATTTACCTTTTTTGCTGTTTTTTGTCATCATCACTAAATTGAGAACATGAGGACATCTCGAAATTTGCAGCACGGAAAACAATGATAAAGTATTTTATGGGCTTACGACAATATATCAGCACCATTAGTTGACTACACCATTATTAATTGAGTTTTACATTGCACTGTATGGTTTATAGTATATTCCGAATCTATAATGAAAATTTTCAAAAATGATTGCCTAAATAATAAGTACATGGTTAATCTTTTAAAGAATGGATAATTTACTCTTCTAATATGTCCAAAGACAGTAAGATTCTGGACTGGCTCATTTAAATGTTTTGTCCTTCATTCGGTATGAATATGGACTATCAGATAAGTTAATCAGTTGACTTAGAAATTGGAAAATTTTTTACTATAAAAAGTATGCAAAAGCAAAATTAGAATACATCTTAATAATGAATACATGTTGATATATATAATAATTATATTAATTGATATAATAATGATATAATAATCACGAAGGTCTCGTGAACGACTGCACATACCTGTTGAAAAATAAAACCACCTTGACTTTTCTTTGTTCAACATACTGCCAAAGTTGCATTCTCTTTAATCCTGATAACCTACTGCAAAACATACAAGCTAACAAAAACCATATGACAATTCAACAAATGCATTCTTTGGACACTTAATGCATTCTGAATTCTTTGTTGTATTTATCCTCATAGTAAGCGGGATAATGAAAAATACAAGTTTTGAACAATCATTTTTTGCTGTAAATTCGTAGGCCTTTAATAATGCTTTAATTCCTTAGTTTGCTAAAACTCATCTACACTGCAAAATAATCATTTTATTTCACTGTACACGAAAACGAATGATATTTCTAATAATTGATCTGGTTCTAAACAATGCATAAAATGGAACTGAATTTAATTGACCATGAAGTATCATTTAAAATATTCATTTCAACTTAATTTCAAGCAAACAATAAAACAAATTAGAACTCAGCTTCAAGTTTTATGAAAATTTAACGAAATTTCATTGATGACAACTCTTTTTTCCAGTCATCTAATTTTCACTTAATCTGATATTCACTGTTATTATATAATAAAGTATACCAAGTTCCACAAATAATAACAAAGCAAACTCAGTCAGGAAATGGAGAAAATAGATAAACAGATATTTACTAGATACTTAACAGTTATTTTTGTTATCTGCAAATAAATTTAAGACTCATAAAACATAAAATGAACGAATAATTATGACGCTACCGAGCTTATAAACTGTAACTTACACATGGCATGCTGTTAATAATGAGTAACAATGACATACAAAATAACTTGAGGAACAATTATAAATATCAGTATATGTTTAACAGCAGAAGCTTCCCGGACTAAAACAATATATTACTGCTATTCTCGCGAACTGCACTATTATGATTGATAACAAGAATCCAGAATTTGAACAGCAACATTTCAGAACTTGACTAATTCGAAATAAGCGACCAGTTTCTACTGTACTTTTGTTGGCAACACAAATATGACTATGAAGGCAATCTTTTAAGAAAAAAAAATCTCATCTCTTAATTCAACAGATTGAAACCCACGTTGCTCCATGAATAAGTGCGTTAGAATAACAAAGTGTAACAAAATATAAATTGAACAACCCATGACACTGTAAGTTTATGATTAATTAGATTCATACAGTTCAAAGAAATATTTTCATTGCTAATCTAAATAAAACGCTAGTTGTAAGAAAAAAACGTGAATTCACTTAAATCCGGAACATCTGTAGTATTAGATCAAATTCGATCAAAAACACCAATTATTGTTAGCATGGATGACACACGATTTCTGGCAGTGAAATAATGACAGATACGTGCATCCGCCGAGACTTAGTCTGTACCAAGTATATTTCACAGGTTAAAGCATTTCTGAACAGCCAATTTTCGAAACAAATTTCATTTCAACTAAATGAACTTCAATTTATGATGAGCTTGAAAATGCACTCTAATATCAAAAGTGGGGAAAGTCAGTCTCTTATTAATTTGAAGTAAAAAAACATTCGTAACTTTTCAGCTTTCTCTATTGAATAAGAATTTGCATTATTCGCTTTCGTAATTCATTTCCAAAATTTTCGAAAATCGTGGTTCCACTATTCTACGAAAAATTAATGTTCTAATATTCAAAATTTCGCATAAATTGAGATGAGATATACAAAATTCTATATGAATTTCTCATCCTTAAAAATATCGACTAGGAGAATATTCTTATCTTTGGTTATCAACTATTGTCATAAAAAATCTATTCAGCCAGATTACACAAAAATTGTACAGCAAACAGAGCAAAATCATGCATGGCTAGTTACACATTCTGACAAGCATGATTTGCAAACTCCTGATTTCGCATCCGAATGACATCAAGTGACTGTTATCATCGTGATTAACTCTGCTATGTGGTCTGAATTTTTTTACACATGTACTGACAAGAGCATTTTCACGGTAGGTTGTTATTATCATTTATTTCAATATTTTCTGAGTGCATTACCAGTTAGACAAAGAATAAGCGCTGCACAATTTCCAATTCAAAAGTCAATCAAACGATATACTCTTCACCATGTGATAAAAAAATAATAAACAGTGCTGTGTTGGCAACATTAGTGTGTTAATTTAGGATGCAATGCAGCTGTGAAAACTGCTAATTAGAATACCATCGAAGTTCTACAACACCCAATGTTTTGCAACAAGAAGGAAAGTCCCAGGTAGCCATCTGTATCTCTACTTAAGTTTCAAGATCAAAGCATTCATTTAAAAATATTTATGCCCAAAATATAATTCTGAGACTGTATTTAAAGAACTATAAAATAAGGTAAAACTTGATTCGGTAAGCTAACATACCCCAGTAAAAATGACCGTAACTCGAATGTAAAAACAGAAACATTACTTACTCACAAATATGCCCATCGTGATCAATATATGACTCTGCAAACTGCCCAAAAAAGAGGTAAAGAATACTATCAGTGTAAAGTGTTACAAGATCTACATAAAAAACTATTATGCAGGACATAAATTTGTTTGGTCGTAATTTTCAAAATAGAAAAGCTTAAAAAATCAAGTGAGCAACGAACCTAGATATATGTTTAAAGAAAATTGTAAAAAATATATTTGAAAGAGAGCTATTGAATTATGTAGTGCTAACACATAAATGGAAAAAAAAGTAAAACAGATTACAAAGAACAAATATGATCATTTTGAAAGAGATTCCAAAATGACCTAAATTCCAATCGAAAACATCGCTCCTGTCTAATTTCCAGTAAGGAAATTTACTGAAATTCTCAAAAAACCTTAAAAATGAAAATGATACTGATGATTTAATAAGATATGAAACAATAAGTGACTAGAAAAAACTAGAAGTATCTGAATTCTCCTCGCTTGCCTTGTCGTTGCTTGATATATTCCGGTGCATCGTCACTCATAATACCCGGACTTAACGATAAAGATACTCCGCTGTGCGGAACTACATTTCCCTGCGATGGCATCCGATCCTGTAAATTACAATATTAAACACTGACTCTCTACAAAAAAAAAAAAAAAAAAAAAATTTGCCCTTAAAGATAGCAGAGTTCAAATTTATATAAAAATTTCGTGTTCGAAAATGACTTCCAGATGAAAATATGCGATATTTACCGACAAACGTATGACTGTAAGTGCATCTGTGAATACAGTACTCACTATGTGAAGAGTCGGGTCCTGAGGTGGCAACGACTGAGGAGAACCATGATCTACGTTTATAACAGACAATATGGTATGCGGGACGTAACCAACACGGTGGTGAACATTTGTGCATTCCCACCAATTTTTATTATCGTTTAAGACCTGTAACCATATTTTGTTTGACTTTTCAACTTAAAAAACTGAACTAAATAAATGATAGTTCTGAAAAACTCATGCCACACATAAATATATATAATCCACAACTTCTGAACTCACCTCAAGAAATTCACCTTGACTGACGGTCAATTCCTTCGGATTTTGTGCAACTCGAGTATGTGTAACCTGCACAAGTTTGGCATGACGAGCTATAATACCATCTAGAAAAGTTCGCTGCCGTGGACTCTGTTCTTGTAAAATCGGTCCGAGCGACGGAGTCATATGATGCTGTTCACTTTCGTTAAACTGAGACTGATAAAGCGGCCGTCGCGACATAGCTGGTGATGGTTGATGTGATGTCCTGCAGTTTCTTATAAGAACTGAGTTATCACATTTATTGAAAAAACAATGATAGGTTAATGAAAATGTGGCTGAAGTCGTATAGATGAATAAATAGATAATAAACAAAAAAAAAAAAAAAAATGTAGTTTCAAATTAGTTTACTCATTCTGTCTTGCCGTATAGCTAGCCACTGATCGCTGTTCAGCTTCTTGTGCCATCATTTCTTTTTCAGCTGCTAAGCGCTGTTTTTCTTGTCTGGAAAGCGTATCAAATCAAATCCAATCCAATAAGATTATCATTATCATTTTTCATCCAATGCAGAAAGCAACTCTTACGGACACTACTCTAATTAACACCAAATTATAGCGATTCTTCTCCACGGGTCTTAAAAGCAACGAAGAGCATAGCATGACAAATTAATACAGAACAAAGTTATAGTCTGTACTGTTGCTCTATTAAAATGTTTTGATGAAGATGGGACCTTTCTCAATACGCCCTTTTACGTCATCTATTCTTTTTGGTATGTGCTAGTTGTAAAACATACAGAATTCTGCGCTCATCTTCAAGAAGTCGCCGTTCACGCTCCGCAATTTTCTCTCTTTCAAAATCCAGACGTTCCTTTTCCAGAGACATATGACCCAAGTCCACATTTAACTAAAGACCAAGAAGTATGAAAAAAGGTTGACAAATCCAATACAAACAAAAAAATTTCCATACTCAGATTCTCAATACCCAGCTAGGGATACGCAAAACTTAATACGTTAGTCTCTCAGCGAAGTAGTTCAACATCAGTACTAACATCAGCCTAGAACAAATGCTACACACTACCATATCTGTCCATAAGAGAACAATATTGTTTAACTTATGAGCCTATTTTGTCTACTAAAATGATAAAGGTTAGTTAAATAGGTAAAGACAACTTGTCCTCATAGTTGTTCGTAACTATACTATATTTACTGTAAACAAATATAAACTCTAAATTAAATCTGGTACATTATCAACAGAGTGATCCCTGATGGGTGGTCGAGTATACGAATTTTGAGTGGGGGGTGGTGGTGCACTCACACCACGATGAATCGGATGTGGCACTGACAGATATCGTGCAGGACTTTGTGGACCAATATAATTATCTGGATAACCATATGGTGCAAAACCATCCAGAAATATAGGTCTGTAAGGTTTAGGCAACGGACCAATCCAATCTTCTCTGCAATACAATTTTTAAAAAAATATATTTTCATTTTTTTCATTAAAACTTTAGTTTCAAAGTAATTCCGCTAGATATACTGAAAATCATGGTATTTTCTATGAAGGTCTTAGATATATAAAAAATTGCTGTGTATGGTTTACATGTGCAAAATAAGTAAGATTTGAAAAAAAAAAAAAAAAACAGACGGAGCTATTCTCCACGCTTCTCCCATAGCCAACCATACGTCAGACTCTCTGCTTGTTAAACAGTTCTGCAACAGTTCGCGAGTTTCCAGTGAAAGCAACGGAGAGACAACCTAGAAAAAATAGTAGTCTAAAATTTCTTTAATGATTTGAATTTTATTAATAAAAGTGTGACAACTCGCTGTCTGCGTACTTTATCCGCCACAGTAGGTATGACAAATATAGTAAGTCGTTTATCTCTACTTCACCTTTTTATTTTACCATGCCATCTAGGTTCGCTTTCTTCATATTCTTCCACAAAGTCGAGAAAATAGGCAGTACCTCAGAAATCCACAAAATGAGTACTACGGAAACCTTTGATAATCTAAATTCACACCTGAGGAGCGATGTTTCTTCCGAGACCCCAGCGACATGCATCAAGTATGACTGTGAGAGGAGTGAACAGGAAATGCAATAATTCTGGTGCATTCGGCTCATGAATGTGATTTTTGAGCTTAGCCTGTTAAAAGTTTCTCGAACAGATGAAATGAAAGACATTTTGGTTTATAAATTTCAATTCTTACCTGATGAAAACGACTGGTGAAATACTTATATTACTAAGAGCTATCTCACAACTGGAATAACTCCTTCAAAGCAGCTAAGAATTTAAACGAAAAGACATTTTAAAAAATGTTGATCACTTCTTAGTACAAATATGCAAATGTTTCTTAGTGTTTGCCAAAACAACAACAGCAAATAACTTACCAGCAAATTAAATGACAACTTAAATTTCTGCAAAATGTCAACAAATTCAAATTCTCCAGGAAGTTGTGCGCGCATCTGTAAAATACCACTTTGTGGATCAATAGGTATGCGTGAGTTCTGCTTACGATGAGTACGCTGTCGATGTGCTTGAGCTTCAAGCTCACGTTGAGCAATTGCAGCTGACTGTATGCGGGCAACAAATCGCTCTATATCATCGAAACATCGATTTAATGTATTCTAAATTAAATAATCATATATATATCAAGTACCATGGAGTTAAACTGGAAATTAGCAAAACTTTCAGGTTTCGCAGATATGTAAATAATGCAATCATAATTCTGCAAAATTTGTGAAGACGACTTAACATAAGGAATTGATATTCGATGATAGAGAAAGAAAATCATTAATCAATGAAATTGAGTACGGCGGACAGAACTGCTTTGATGTTCATTGTAATGTATGATCATCAACAAGCAAAATAAACAGTTCTAGTAAGCAGCGCTACTCACAGAAAATTATCCTTACCACATCTCTTTCAAATGATTCACTACTATCAGAACTGGCGGAAGTATCATCACGAAAACCTCGAGCAGGTAGCTCTAAAAAAAAAATAACTCAGCATAAAAATATTCTACTAATATTTGACACAGTTACATTTCAGTACTGGTATATATATAACATCTGGTTCAACAAAACCATTAAAAGTTATTTAGTTCAATAAAAAGAAAAACATACCCATCACGAATGCTGGTTGATACCCAACCATGAAGCCCGTATCGCGTCGCCCTGTTCTTACCTTTTTGTAATGTCCCGATAGAAATGCCTTTATGTCATCCACAACATCATTTGCCGAGACACGATTGCACTATAAAACAGTTTATCAAATCACTTAGTTTATCTAACCAGTAAAGATTAAAAGAAATCAATCTCCTTCTTCAGTAATTTATCGCCTCCAATATATTTTTGTTATTTAATGGAATGTATGGTTACTTTATTGTCATTAACTAAATATTTTCTAAAAAAGGTCAGCGCATTTAATAAAAAATTAAGATGATACAGATTATCTAAAAATATAAGCACTAAAAATAAATCAACATTTAAATTGTTCCTATTACAAATTTCCAAGAATTTAGAAAAAACCAAAATTTTGTAAAGGATGCACACTTGAAAAATATGCATTTCGGTGGGGTTCAAGCTTCTGCCACGTTTTTTATCTTCCTTCACGACGAATAATAAAATATTGTTATACACATCGCGAGGATTTGCAGACAAATGTGCAATTGGATTTGTTACGAGTTCCATTGGAAACTGTTCTACAAGATCCTAAAAGAAAATGAATATGATGGAAAGGTAAAATTCTTTTCAATTAAAATAAAAGCATGTCTAAGCTTTTCTACGTTACTTAATGTGCATAAAGTTCCTTGAAAATCCCTGGAAACTCTTAAAATACATAATTTCGAAGGTGGTTCCTAAAACTGCACATCATGAATGTTCAATCATTTTAAATATGTCCTAAATCTACTGTGCTAACACCCCACAACAAATATTAAGCTTTATCCAAAAATCTTTTCAGCAATATCATTTGGACATGAAAGATATTTACTTCAAGTACAGTTGTGTAATCTCAAATTCTTCAACTCTCTCATGCGTAAAGGCTTTACAATTTTTCATCTTATAACGAAGTATTCATCTCACAGCTTGGAGTATATATAACTTAATGCTACCAACATTATGATATGCCAAAATTTTCGTCCTTTCTTTTCTCCTTTCTCTTACTCCCTCTTTCTCTAAAAATTCGGTACAAACACAATTAAAATTCAAAAAAGTATGGAACAAGGCCCATACTTTAATTCATCTTCGATGTACCGCTGACTTCTTTTTTCACGAAATGGGTGATACTTTTATAAGCAAGATAGACAAGTTGAAGATTTCGGAAGTTTAGGAATACAGCCAGACTAGTTATTTAAGCTAGTAAATTGTCAAGTAAAGTTAAAATAAAGTCAGGACTAGTCGAAAAAAAAAAAAAAAAAAAAAACCGTCTGCAAGTTCGATGCAATACATCTATTGGAAAAAACTCTAAATTTCGAAAACTGATCATCGAAGTAAAGAGTCAAGTAATTCTTACTCCATTTTCGTCCTCAACCGAAACAACTCTGGGTCGCAATCTGAGTACCATTGGTTGTGCCCATATCGCACTACTATTCTCCAACTGTTTTAGTTTTCTGATGCCATCCTCAGGATATTGCAAACCGAATTCTCGGCCAATAGCAAATGTTGCCAAATGTTCCACCCAATATGATGGTGTATCACTCTCCAAAGCGCTCGGATGACGACTGCTACCTATACTGATAATAAAATTTAAATGAACATACATCTGAAAGTAACTGAAAACGAAAATATGAAATCAAGCTACCATGAATGCTCATCGATGAATTTCCGATTATCCCGTTATACCGCTGCGGTGCGACGCTATTGTATGGCAGTACTGCCGGCGATGGAGCATTTGACGATAAGGAAACTCCACCACGTGAATAGTAATATGAATTTGAGCCAGATGCTGACGGATGTCGTGAACTGGTCGGATAACCACTGCAAATAAGAGTTAAAAACTTACTAATCTGTTACAGGTTTCTACAGCGCGGGATCAAAACTTCAACTTTGTTGTAAATAATAAAAGAATTCTAAACTAAAGATAAACTTTAGAATAAAAGATAACAAAAAAAAAAAAAAGAAAAAGAAACTGCTCTATTGTCACAAATCCTAAACTTCCTCTAGAAACAAAAAGATAAACCTACTTCCACACTAAGATGTATCGCCTGAAAATGAACCTTTCCTGACCAGGAAGACGGTGATACTCCCTGTCTATCGCCTTCAGTTTCTATTATGATGCCACATTTCAGAGTTTGCAAATATAATCTGGTAGGAAAAGTTCAAAGTATAAAACAGATAACTAACACCAGAGAATGTAATTGTCAAATGCTTTTAACACTGTTGCCGCCAGTGAAAGTACACAAAATGCCTATATTAAGTTAACCGGTTATTGATTCTAATTAACGGAGAGCGAACCGATAATTTTAAATTTATTATAGCAAAAACTAATCACCAAACCATTCAAAAAAAAAAAAAAGTTCTAAGAGAATAATGAAAGGAAATAAGTACAAAAGAGAATAATGAAAGGAAATAAGTAAAGTAGTGGGACGGTGAAAAGTATTAAAACTACTTTCCCCCTACTTGCAAGTTGACACATATGTTCGTGTGTTTTTAACTAAATTTTTCCTAAAAGGAATTTTTATTTCATTTTTTTCTTTAAATTTAAACCTTGAATTTTTATAATATTTTAAATTTAAAAAATTTTCTGGACAGAACTACCTAGCGACCAAGACAAAACATGAGCTATTAAGGCGGTAAGTGTAAATTTATAATTTCAGATTGGTAGTCCAAGATTATCTAAAGAATGTTTTATTTGGGATATCATTTTGGGAGTAAAATTGTCAACATAAGGTTTAGTAATGTTCTCTTCTTCGCTTATATCAAAAAAAATCCCTTACGTTTTATCAAAAAATTGAAATCGATGCCATAGTTAATTATGTTTAGAGTAATCAGACATAAAAAATTAGATGTGTTAAAAGTAATTAATGTAACGATGGTATTTAATATCACTGTTTGTCATATAAGAACAAATGTGTATTGAAATAACTAATATTTGACACGTGATCCATGCTTCATTCAAGATGAAATAGGGGACAACAGCAGAGTCATATTGACAAGTAATTTGTGAATGCAATCATACATTAAAGCAATCTGTACAGCATCAAAAAAAAAAAAAAAAAAAAAAAATTAATAACGTTGTGCCTCAATTATATACCACTGCGCCAGTTCCCAGAAGTAATGCGCTAAATGGAGTTATGAAATAAAATAAAAGACGGGAGTTCTTCAGCAAAATTAAAAAGAGATAGGAAGATCACTGCCAAATTCCTTTTCCTTCAACGAGTAAGAATTCTTAAAATATGGAGGAAAGTAATGTCGATAATTAATTCAATAAATAAACAAAAATGACAAAAATCAGACACACAAATTCTGTGCATAAAAGCAAACATTTCTGTTAGTAATAGTTAGATAATCCAAAAACAGAAGAACCAGTTTGCCCATAAAAAGAAAAAAAAATTTGAGCTTGATTGGATAAGTTGGCAAATTTTAAGAAAAAAAAAAAACAAATTTTAAAGAAAAAAAGTCGTCTTTTCTTCATCTAGTGTTTAGTACAAAATGCACAAAAAAAATACATATTTTTGTGCATTCTGTATTACATGAATTATAAGATATGTAAGTCACATTTGAATTGGTAAGACCTGAAAATGTCAACTTGCTAATGTGGAAGTCTATTGGATTTTCAAAATTTAATCAGAGACTTTTAGCTTAAATTTTATGATAAACTATAAACCTTTAAATATTTACCGATTCAGTGCATAACCTGGACCTTGACAAAATACGAGCGCTCTTTCAAACATGAAAATTCAACCAGTCAAACTTAATTTCAATAAATAAGATTTTGGAAAATGTGACATACTTGGAAAATTCGGATGGTACTGGTTGGTGGCGCCTGGCTGCAGGCAGCCCTGATATCGCTTTACGCGTTTTTGACGACAGGATTGGGGTTTTGTTAAGTCAGCCACTGTATAACATTGAACCTGAATATACCACAAGGTATCCAAAAACTTCTGAAAACAGTGTTACGGTTAATAAACAGAAGCGTTGAAAGATATAAACATGCAGTTTGAAGAGACGACTTCTGAGAGTAAAAAGTGTTTAAACACAACTGATGACATGTTGGACGACTATTAACTAGCATTAGGAAATATGTGTCATAATACTGTACATCATGGTAAATAAAAAGCTTTATTTACCATGATAAAAACTTTTCGAGACTTTTATGACCAGTAGGAAGATGATAACTCATATCCTAATGATATTAAATGAAACTGTTTAAAAGGTTACATGTTATTTATGAAAACAAATCTTTTGTCTGATGAGGATATTGAATTTGTAAAAACGACATGTAATACGTAATATCACAGCACTGCAATAAACTGTTTTCAATTCTAAGCTACTCTGTCTGGACTTTTTTAATTAAAAAAACCTCACATACCGCATTTACAGTACTAAGATATTTCACCAAAATACTATCTGCGTACTATTCCTTGTACTATAAATAATATTTGGGAATTTGTCTACGTATATTAAACGCTTCCAAAACTCTGAATAGCTATTTATAATCATAAATGCAAAATAAATATCTATAATTAATTCACATTTTACAACTAGTAATTTTTTATTACATATGGTGATGTGCTTAATTTATTGTAGATATTTACTAACGAAATATTCAAATTCCAATATTTAATAACATAACTGGTAACCTAATTAGTAATTATGCTTTACGGTTACTTTTTTTTTAAAACAAAAATTAAGTTTAGTAATTTCATTATTGGAGCAAGATATTTTCTTCATTAAAAGACATTAACAGGCGGCACGCAAATCCATAGTGCACTAAAACTTGTCGTCCCGGTATATTTATAATTCTTAAGGCTAACTTTTCCCACACAATATACCGGCAACATCAAAACATGTACAGACTACACAACTTTGACAATTTTTCATATAAAATTTAGACCAACGGAGGCCACAATAGTTGCCGATCCGTGATGCATGAACAAGAAGCTATATTTATCGTACGGTAATACCGCAGCCTGATTCATGAAATGCCAAAACAAAATTTATGGAAATTGAAGGTGGGAAATGAACAGAGAAAGTGAGGGATGAAATCGTATCAAAAATGATAAATAGAATGAAATTTCCGAGGAAAGACATAAAGGAATAAGGAGAAAACGGAAATGACATGCAGTTCTATCAAAATTGTTGATAAAGTGACCAAAATTTTTAGGTACCCATAGAACAGCTTTTTTGTTAAACTTTTTAAAAATCATGCTGGAAATTGTTTTTAGAAATTGCATATCCAAACAAGCATAAATATTTGGTAAAAGTAAAGACATTTCTTAACAAAAACTTATATTAGATATAAAAGTTTAAGATTAAAGTATTGCTCCTACTACTGTTGAGAAAAGAACTGCTAATGCAAACATCTCTTTAAATCATCGAGTTTTTACAAAAAGTCTTTACACGAGAATTTAGAAATTATAAAAGGCATTAACATCAGCTCTCACCAAATACCTGATATCAAGCACAACTATTAAAATTTGCCTCACCGTTTGAAGATCGAAGTTAACAATGATAAGGAATTATAAAAAAATTTGCTGAACTTGCAGGAAGCGAACGATTTTCGCTGTATCAAAATATTCAGTTAGTAACTTATATTTTTCCTGAACTTGTGTACAATACCAATTAAAATAATTTTTAAGCTCATCGACATATTGTTACTGTTACAAATATATCATCAGTTGCAATACAGCAAAAGCTCTCACCAAAAGATGCGTTAGTTATCCACAAATTAGTTGTAAAATTATATTGTATTTTAGAAATAATTTAATTTTAGAAATGATTTGACCAAAGGGAAATCCAAAAATTTGAAAACTTTCTCAATTTAAAATTTAATTTGATACAAAATACTCTATCAGACTTTCAAAGATACTTCGACAAATACCCTTGTTTCTGAGTCCTGCGAAATAATACGCCAGTTTTGTGTAACATAGTAGATAACCATGTCACTTCAATGTTATCACAAGGTAGTATTGGAAACAAATGATTTAATTACTTAATTTGCAACCTGTGACCTCTAGAGAATTTAGATTCTAAATAATTTTGATTTTTAATTCAAATTTGACCACAATGCGATGAGGGCAAAATTGGTAACAATGGAACCTATGTGAATGTAGGATTGCTAAGTTAAGAAGAATTAAGAGGTCAGTGTTCGGTATTGTACAGTTGAATCCAAGTGACTGCAATCGTCCTATATTTTTGAACAGGAAAAAAGAAAATAAAGGCACAAAACAAGCATACGGATACGGTCTTTCCTTGCTAAAGCTAGTAATTTTGATCAAAGTTTTACAGAAGTTAAATGAAATACAGAACTTAAAGATATAAGAAATGGTGAAAAAAAAGAATGAGAGGTAGACGAAGGACCAACACTACACCTCATGTTTTGTAGTATCGAAAACCATTCCAATAGAGTTAAAAAACCTACGCAGATATGAACGAAAAAGAAGGAAGTAAGAAAAAAGGAAGAGAACTGAACAGGGAGAATTTTTGACAAAATTGAATGATTTCAGTTTTCTAGTTGGAAGATAGGACGAACCTTGAAAACAGAAGTATTTTCACCGTTTTCAAAAGCCTGACGAAGAATAGGAGTTAGGGCGAAAGGACATGTAACATTAGCATAACATTTATAACATATAATAAAATATACATCGAGGGGAACACCAGGGGAATTCAAACATCGAAAATGTATTTTCGCTGAACATCCAAGTATCTTAAGCTCATTTCATCGTCGTAAATTGATTCTGTACCGTGGTGTGACACATTTTGGAGAACTGAAAAATACAATCCTTTCGCAGGAAAAAATCGAAATCACTATAGATGAAAAGTGAGAGGAAAGCCGCAACTCAAACGTTAGTTGTTGAAAACGACATTCCACTGTCCTTCCGAAACCTCTCCCTCTTGCATACCAGCACACCACATCTTCATACTATCTTCCCATTTATTTCGACCTTTCAGCCTGTCTAACATCTATGTTTGGTTGCATGAATATATTCGTGCTATATTAAGTATTTTTGCGCCTTATAACTCATTTGCCCTGACCCTGAACATTCCTGTTACTGTACAGCGGGGACAACAATAAATGGGACTATTTTTCATGGCCACTGTCAAACCTACCAAGATTCGACATAACGCTGATGAAACTAAAAAACTAGATCTAATCTCATAATCCCTCTATGGTAATATAAAATAAATCCTCATCATTCTGTATCATAACAATAATAATTAATAACAATTATTAATAATTAATAATAACAATAATAATAAATAATTAATAATAATAAATAAATAAATAAAGCTGAAACGCTACACAATCTTATTATCCTATTTTTGGTGCTAGTGCAGTTGATTTGAAGTCAACCATCTGATTTTTAGCAAAGCACTGCAAAAAATCCAGTTATAGTCGTCACTGATTTTGGTTGATAAATTATAAAGAGATCCGGCAACTAGAAAACATTTTTACATAAGAATATAAGATAAAACGAGCGCGTGATGAATCAACAATAGTTTCAATAGCTCCATTTAAGAGAAAGTAATTTACAAATTCTTTTGGAAATTTTAAAACAGATAATGGTCCATTGAACCGAATGCTTCTTCCAAAAATTGCCATAGCTCGTAAATATGGAAGGCAGTATGACCAGCATTAATCTTAGAACAAACATGTATCGAACAGGCGGCCTAAATATGTATATACTTTCTAATCTCCGGATCTTCACAGTCTTCATTATTTTTTATAAATACTATGTCTTGTTTACTGACCTTGTAAAATATTTACGAAATACCATACTTCTTAAGGGATGTGTTCAATGAACGTAAGGCACTTCATAATTGAAACACAAAGCCATTTTGAATAAAATCAATGACTGACAATAAACGGTTGACGACTAAGGAAATGTTGATGAAAGCAGTGCAACTCTTCTCCGTTCAACCAATTTAGATGTCCAAATCGTGACAGTATCACATCATGTACAGAGAAAACTACACACCACACTAAGTCACATACCATCATCTATCGCCCATCAACGATACAGCATATATATATATATATATATATACATACCAACTGAGGTCTCATTACTAAAAATATGATAGGTTCTTAGTCTTAGATCGATGTGATTATAGATCAGTTCAATGTGCACTCTTCACTTTATGTCCTTTTACTAATAGTATCTGCTTTTACAATCAACAGCTGATAAACGGTTTAGGAAGTGTTGATAAATTTATATTACAGTTATGGTCCAAGTTTTAGCTTGGAAAGTACATGCTGAATGGTCGTCGGAATTTTGTAATAACAAAATGAGAAATCATTGAAGCCCACCTTATCCTCTTAAAATTAAAAGTTGCCTACGAACTCATCGCTAGTTATTCTAGATTTGTTTGTACATTCACAACAAAGTAAAAAGTGAAGAAGCTCATTTAGTGCATTCCTTATGAGTGACTAGAAATCAAGGTCATAAAGAATTTTGAAGTGTTAGCGTTTTTTATTCTGTACAACAACGAATTTTTTCCGGTTGTTATGGACAAAACAAGTGAGTTTGTAAAAACCTGTGACAACCATTTCAATCTGTGGACCGAGAAAGATTATAATCATTATTTGAAGTTAAAAAATTACATTCGACCCAGAAAATCAATGCGATGCACAGATAACTTCTTGGAAAGTGCTTTCCAAAAATCTGTTAAGTTGATTCCTAAAGCAAGAATCACTATGCACAGAAAAAACCACCAGGATTTATTGTCAGACCATAAAATTGTGACAGACAATAATGGGTACGATTATGCCGGCAGCAATAATGAGGACGTTCTATAATGACAATATTTAGGTGTAATATTGATGTCATAGTCGTTGTTGATGTTTGCAGTAGAGATATTGATGATAATGGTAATAAAATTAAAAGTAATTTTTAAGATTAAACCAGCTTGCTTTTCTTCATACAAACACTCTACAAGAAAGCACCACTTTGATTACATAAACAGCAAATATGCTAATTAACAACTTTGTTTCCACAAGAATAGCAAAAGCTATTGTACTATATAAAATTGGTTTACCTCAGTTAATTTCACTCAATTTGCCGAGAAAAAAAATCCTGCTAAAAAACATCATTAATTTTCTTGCATTTTAAGCAAACAAATAGGTGTACAATATCGCTCTAAGAACGTTAAACTATTTAATTATAGGGAATAGTACAGCCAAATTAACAATGTGAAAGCTCCCATTTGCAAACAAGACAATGTTTTACGACAAATCGCCTAAAAGTTCAAGGTAAAATGTCAACACCAATCCAATGCAGGCCATAATCTATATGGATAGGTTCCAACAATACGGTCTTCATGATGAGTTCTAATATTATGACCGGCCTCCCAATAGCGAGAGAAGTATACCGAGGTGAAATTACGTTCTATCACTCAATGAAATATATTTGCAAACTCGGTCAGGCTAATAAAACTTGAGCAATAGTTGCGAAGTGCAGTCAAACACTGATACGTTTGTGTAATGAAGATCAACTGAATTTAAGTGACTGAAGGATGGTATTAACATAACTTTAATAATTAGTGTATTGGTCAGTGAACTCATTCAAGTTAACTTGAGCTTTCGGGTCTTCAAAATAATTATATTACAAAGAAAATGATAATAGCAGTACAGAGCTTCGAGCTACTGATGGTGAGTACGATGAAAAGGTTTGATAAAATGCGAATTGATGTTGGAACATTTTTAAGCAGAAGGAGATGGAATTTTTGAAAAAAAGAAGCTTATGGAGCAATCATAAATATGGATGGTTACTGAAAATTGAAGACACTAAGGCTAGGACATGACATACATGCACTCACTCACGTATGCTGTCGCACACATAGATACGCACACACGAATACGTAGAAAGTTAAAGAAGGTGATCGGACCATTCAAACGAGATCATTGAAAGTGCAGAAAAAGACCGCTATGAACCCACATACCTTTTCATTTCTTGCGATTATTTGTTCAATTCGGAACGGGATTATGCATAGACAACCGATAAAATAATGTTATCACAAGCGGAGTAGTCACATTAATGTAAATAGCCTAAGCGGAAAAGGATCTTATTTTTTTTAATCTTATTTTTGTTCATTCCGTCCTTTTTTGAAAACTCTTTACCACAGTTTCACTTTCCCTCTCGTTCCCTCTATCAAACAATGTATAGCAATAGAATTAACTAAACCATCAAGTAAATCATCCCATGTTTTACAAACCGGAATAAGTTATGATTTTTCGTCTAAAAACAGGTACTAAGAAGAAATCCTCTTAGCTTCACAATTTAATCATTGTGTTTAAAACATTTTGAAGTGTACCATTCGAAGAAAATAAGTACTTACATTCTACTTTAAAGTCAGCGCTGATTAACAAACCTCCAAAAATCGTACATTTTGGACAGTGAATTTTTTTTTTTTTTTTTGCCTACAAGATAATGAAAAATTAAATGAACTGAAATAAAATATAGTGTCTCGGATGTACGTATGTGTACCACTGCACGAAAATCTTCAAATTCTGAAGAACAATGCCTATCACCGACCACAGTATAATAATAACAAGATGACGCCAATGTGCACAACAGTAAAAATTGTTGACAGAGGAGGTGAAAACACGATTTGTGCGGGGAGCGGTGAAATGAGAGGGATGCGAAGATGGAAGTGACAATGAAGTGTGCGCAACTCACGGCAGCGGACAGAGGGAGAAACATTCAGCACAATTGGGTCGCTGTACATTACAAACATCCGCACAGCGCGTACTATCTCGAATTAATTCTCTCTTGGATGTCCGCATTTGAAAATTAATTCGAACAGTCCACATATAAGGTGCATGCATTTAAACTATTGCGGGACTGCATTATCTCATAATTCACTACATGTAGACAATTGTAATGAACGAGCATTCTTCCACATATCTACCCTCTAACGTCCTCGACGCTATCCGCAACACTCATCCCATATCTACGTACACGTTCGTAGTCGGAGGCACAGACATTCGACGAGCTACTGAAGCGAAATACGCCACAGTAGAGATGCAACCGCTGGGACGATTAATAAGTGTCGTATATCTTGTAAGTTATATAGTGACATCAGCAGGAAAAACAGATCTTTGAGCTTCAACCGTACTGTTTTCAATATTCAAAAAGTCGAAACAAATTGGATAGGGTTTCTAAAAGAAGAGAAATTAAAAAGTTTATTTCGTAGTCTAGGGATTGTTAACTGAATTACAAACAAATGTTATGTGCGATACTTTTACACGCTAAAAGCAGAGAAATAACAAAGAAAAAGCATATGTTATAAAAATAATATGTTAACTATAAAAAAAAAATGATTTGCAGTAATATAGAAATTAAATTACGAACTCCCTGATACTGCGGGATGAACAAGTGTGTGAGAAAGAAGTCTGCTGATGACAAAAATCATTCCTAGTTGCGTTATTTTCAATGTGTTCTCCAAGGATTTCATCTAAATGACCAATTAAATATAATAGGCACAAACACGTTAGCAGTTAAAAAAATTTTGCATGTTTATCACAACTTCATCCCAAACTTATTACTGTTATTTCTTCCTTCCATCGGTGCAAAAAACAACACGCCAAAATACTCTCGAATAAAGATAACGTAAAACATTTCTGCTCGCTAATTTGGATAAAATTAACTCCCGTAACAAAAGTTCGACTAAATTTATAACGAAGTTTCAAAACTTAAACTTTTGCAGTCTATTCAACTCTGCCCCTTTCAGTTCACTTCCAACAAAACATAAATTGTATATGATTCCGGCAGTGCTCTTCTTCCAGATCCGCGGACTAGTTCCTTCAAATTTATTACCATACCAACAAGGACAAAAAATTACTAAGGAATTTCGTAGTTTTGGTTCCATTTGGCTATGTCAGTAACTACATTATCAGTGAAACATAATTAGCTGAACCTTCATAGATTTATTGCGAGTCATAACAAACAAACTACTTCAGATACTCGTAACATGAAGCTCAGTAAAGAAAAAGGCTTAACTAATCACTATTAATTAAATTTTTGGTCAATATATAACACACAATTCGTCTTCACAATAAAACTCCCAAAAAGATAAAGGTATTCTACATGTGTACAGAAAGGAATAAATTATCATGACGGATTAAACCAAAAACTAGACAAGGGAATGTAGGAAACAAACAGAAATCGTTAATATCATAATGCAGTTGATTAATTGCAGCATGAAAACTTGCTAAAGTTTATCCTGCATAGATTAACTGCATTTCTCCAAAAACATACAATTCCAAACTTGACGCATTTGAAATTTATAACTTGTTGTAAAATCATACGTAAAACCATGAGTAAGAATTTTCAACCTAAATAAAGGATCAGTGTAGTTTCTGTAAGCAAAGATCAAGTAAGAAATTAAAATAATTAGAAAATAACCGTTTCCGACATCTTTTACAAAAACTCTGTTCTACATGTAATGGGATGTAAATTCAAACTAAAGAAAACAAATGACTAACCATCATCATCTGATCCCAACAACACATGCAAATTTTCCCTTTCGTCTACCTCAACCACATTTCAACACTAAACTTTACTTTGTCCGAGTTTACTTTGTAAGAGATTGAAAAAGTGAAAAGCTTTCAATAAAATCCTTAATAACTTCCTGTGCATTTTTTCACCACTATTTCCCATTGAATCAGCTCTTGGCCAATCATTTTGAGAACCATTACACTCTTCAGTTAACGGAGTAGAATGAACATCTCTTTCGCTTTGTTTCAAAGTCTAAAAAAACATGGCACTTCTTTCAGGAAAAGGCCACCAACAATGAATCGTCGAGATGAGGTAAGAATCTTTCTAAAATTTTGTCTTTGAAACGGAACATGGGAAGCACAAGCTGAAGCAGCTGAAAACGACGTTTATATGCATCAAGACTCAAAATGATATAAAGGATAGTTGCCTTTCAGTTTATTTGATGAATGTATAACTTGCTGCTGTATCCATAAATGTAACCGCATAACTCTTAATACGCAAAGGTATACAGCGTCGTTTATTTGGTTTTGCTATATGGACAAAATCACACTATGAACAGTTCCTCATATATTTTTTTTTTTTTTAAGATTCAGATAATCCTTCAGGAAATTCAAATCGAACAATTGTGAATGCTGTGAAAAACAATAATTTATCTGATAAAAGATCTATGTTTCCTATTTTCACTCTTAGAAAAAAAATTCGGTAAGGATTTTGCTTTCTGCCTGATGCAACAATTTCATCACTCTGAATTGTAAAGCATGAAATATCGAAAAAGTTGACTTGAGCAGAGCATAAAATAACTTTCGTCTTTTTCATCTTGCCACAGAATGGCTCAAGAAAAGCACCAGCAGAACGAGGGAAATAGATGAAAACTATCTTGTTCCTTAGTCAATAACTTAGTCTTCCTTGGAAGTATGCCAACTTCCAGGTACGTCGGAAACAAGCCAGAACAAAGTGATGCATCGGTAGTAATGGCTACAACTGACGTTGGGACACAAACAGCATTTTACACATCACCTTTGAAGAATTAAATAAATGCTAGCTGTCGAATTTTTCTACTTAAATCTTCCTGTATTTTGGATCCATTATTTTTATCACAGAATATTATTTTCCCAGTTGTTTCAAACTCATGAATACTTATTTCGTCGCTACGTATTTGTGTCTTATCTTTGCGCTACCAAGAAGAAAAAAGTTTGTCGGTCTTTCAAAAAAATCACCATCGCGAATACTGGAAGAATTTAAGTGACTCGATGAAGATCTCTAAATAATCCTATTAAACGTGAAGTACTTCAAAAGATGAATTTGACAATGCAACACAACTGATTACTGATAAATCTTAATGCAGATATGAAAAAAAAAAAATGTACTAAAACAAAGTGAAAAAAGCAGCCTAAGATGTAAACATGTGATATGAATAATGCAAATAGTCGACCTATAAAATTTAGGAAAAGTTGATTACAAAAGAATGATTAGGGTAAGAAGTCATGGTGGGTTATACCAGCTGAAAGGATGCATTCCGATCAAAGTAAATGTAGGGAAAATCCAGTCAAAAGTCTGTCTCCGTTTGCTGTCGTTTTAGATGTGACGGTGATTGTTGTATTGTCGCATCTCATCCCACTCCTACTCTGTTCTCTTCTTTCTCCTTCGTCAATCAAGAATGATCATAACCTTTCTCTTCTTTCCATACTCGTTTTATAGTGTCATTCCTTTGCCCAATATTACCGTCAACACCTCTGTTCTCTCGCTCATCCTTTTCGCTTCAAGTACATTTCGTATGCATAGCTCTCCATTTAACATTCTCTACTTCACATTTTCTGTGTTAAACAGCACCGACTGACTCACTGCCACACACCAACGGACTGCCTTACCGCGATGCCACTATCGTTGCGGACGCAATCAATTTTCAGACCTTTTGTAAAACATTATGACTGATTAATTGAACAAAATATTTATCTTCCGAGTACTACAGAAAACATGAATAAAAAGCACTGCAATCGTTGTAGTAGTTAGCAGGAGGAGCACAGCTATTGTAACAAATATATACTTAATCGAAGGCATTTGTCAGCTCGTTTTCTTTTTAATCTAGAAATTACATTAAATGTTATCTTCCTTTTATCTCTATAACTTTTAATTGCATTTGTCACAAATATTGCTTTGTACTGAACGATATAAACATATCCATCGCATTTCCATTAATGCTACCAAAATAAATATTGAATTACGTACATAAAGAGATGGAAAAAATGCAGTTGAAACAATATTTGATTTTCATTTCGTTGCCTTTCCCACTTTGTTACTGAATTTCTGCATTCTGAGAAGATATTTATTGTATTTTGTTATAAACAAAATTTCTGCTTGACATATTATGTTTTGTAATGCGGATTTCTCAGAATGGCGCTGGTTATACTATATTCACCAGAAAGATTATAGCTATTAAGAATTGAGAACTTTAAAAATGCTAAAAATCAATTTCAGTCTTACAGTAAAGCAAGAGTTCAGCAGTTGTGTTTTTTCTCATATTTTTCAAGTGATACAGTTGAATTCTAAAGTTTTTGACCCCTTAGATCCTGATTCAAATATCAGAATAAAACCATATTTTTTATGAATCGGTGTTACAAGCATGTTTTCGACTTCCCATTTATACTTTGACGAAAAAAAAAAAGAAAAAAATAGAAAAAATTAAGTGTACTTGTAATTTCATTACACTTTTCCTGCTTATATATATTTTTTTTTCAGTTTTCTAATCTTAATTCAGAATTGAGAACATAAATGAATGCAGAGGACGATTGAAATAAATTGTTTTCTGGACTGTTGGATAGCTAACTGAAATGCTATCTGTTAACAGTGATGTGAGAATTTTTGGAATTGAAAGTGAAACATAGCAAGAAGAAATAAGACTGGACTCTAACTCATTATCATTTGGAACCGTGTAACAAACAGGGAAAAAACCAAATTTAAAATCAAAATTTAAGCCATTAGAATTTTTTGGTGATGGAGATTCAGCTAGCATGACAATGACAGTAGTCAATCCAATTTCAATCCAATTCCAAACCTAAGAATGCCTCATTCTCAGTCAAATTACTTTTTGGAATTAAGGATGAATGGTGGTATTCCATATTGGTTGTCATTGATGCAAATAAAATTGTTACTAACAAACGTCTTGTATATCATTTGGTTTTTGAATTCATTTTTAAAGTTATAAATTAATTTCATAAATATTCGGAATGGTAGATGGGAATCGTCGTAATCTGAGCATAACACATCAGTCGCATTAAGCTCCTCATTTTTTCATTGCGGTAGAAATATATTTATAGCGGAAATTCTTAGATGGCAGTGATTTGAAAGAAGGATGAAGTACTGTTGTTCTAGAAAAAAAATGATTGGATAAGAAAAGCTAAGTGAACATTGCAATGAATGTAGGTTGCTGTCCGGAAGAGAAGATGATTATGATGTGCTTAATGATTTATCACATTTCTATCCACTTGCAGACTTTTGTGAATTTTGTCATTTCATTGAATTAATGATTTAACGTATTTAAAAAAAAGTGATTCAGCGTTTTTTTTCACAACCAAAAGTTTTAATTTCCTGTTTCCTAATAGCATTAA